CCGACGCAGGCGTGCCAGCTGTTAAAGTCCGTCTACGGCCTCAAGCAAAGCCCCATGCTGCTGGTACGAGAAACTGGCGGCGGAGTTGGGCAAGCTAGGCTATGAGCCGTCTATGTCCGACCCCGCACTATTCGTCAAGCGCGGGTCCGACGGCTCAATCTATGTGCTCGTGCACGTTGACGACATGCTGGTGGCGGCACACAACCTGCAATTGGTCGCGGCCGCCAAGGCGGCCATAGCTGGTTGCTTCGCAGTACGAGACCTTGGAGAGGCGCGCTACTACCTCGGCATGGACATCATCCAGGACCGCCGCAAACGCAGCATCATGCTTACGCAGCACAGTGCTGGGCATCACTTAGATCGCCAGAGGAGGAGTGCTGAGGGCTTTGAGGATCGGCCTCAGTTAATTCCTTTTTTCCAAACGCCAAAATGGCCTGTTTATTACTTTTAAGGAATATATTACTTTAAAAAAAGACACTGAGCTGAGTACCGGCCATAGAGGGCTGTCCTTGCTGCTGTGAATTAATGCGAAAAACGATAGTCTTCAAACCGGTAACCAGCCCCGGTTACTGCCCAGTAACGATCAACCTGGTAACCCAATCGTAACCACCCCCATTAACGACCCCCGGTAACCATCCACCTGGTAACCGGTCTCCGCGTACCCCATTAACGGCCACAATTGCCCGATAACCGGGCAAGTCTATGTGGTAGGGTCACCAATCCCACAGCACAAATATGTGGCAGATGGATATAAACTCGGCCAGACCCTACACAGGATATATACTTAAAAAAGTAGTGGAGGACGGAACGGGCATGTGGGAGCCTCCCACTCGCTTCTGAGCTGCGAGCGAGGGAGGGCCGAAAACCCAAATAGGTGTCATTTTTTTACGTATGCTTATATGTATGTATGCATGTATGTGTGTATGTATGTGTGTAAGTATGTATGTACACGCACACATGCAGGCCTGCTACCTGCAGGCACCAGCAGCTGGTGGTTGCAGCACCGCCGCCGGTGCCGCCAACCCCGCATGTGTCGCGCTGCTGCATGCTGGCCAATAATCGCACTTTTTACACGCACGAACGCACGCACGCACGCACGCAGGCAGGCAGGTAGTCAGCAATCCCGTCATTGCATGTGTGCATGTGGCTGCCTCGGCCTGCACAATACATATATGCAAATAGTGCTGGGTATGTAACATGTATGCTGTTGACTTAGTATGTACACAGAATACGTAAATTTATGCATATGACGCGTCTATCTAAGGGTTATGTACATCGTATATAGCTATGCCCACGCATAGATGCGGCGGGAGCCGGCAGGTGGTGGCAGAAGGCCGGTAATGGGCACAGTCCGCCTCCTGCACCTGGCCTTAGCCATCAGGCGCAAGCTGACAATGGCGACCACTGCAACCAGCACAGCGACCCCTGCAGCGGCTGTTGCCCAGGTAATTACTGCTATGTTGGGACTACTGTTAGACTTGCGGCCGCCACCCGCTGCGGTGGCTGTTATTAGCGTTGTGCTATTGGCGGTGTCTGCTACTGCAGCCGCCGGTAGTGGTGATGAACCTGCTGCAGCAGTGTCAGCAGTGCAAGCGAGCAGGGTTGCATGAAAGCAGGCAGCAGGCAGCATGGCACGGCATATGCACACACCATATGTGCCAGCAAGGGGTCCGCATAGCCACAGCAGCAGCAGCAGCAATCAAGTAGAGCGAGCCCTAGGGCCTTGGTCGGCGCACCACGTCACCGCAATGATGGATGTGCGACACGAGCGAGTGGTAGATGCTATGATACAGCATATAGTTACATATACGCAGCAGGGACATATGTGTACATGTGTGTATGTGTGCGTGTGCGTGTGTTACATGGTCGCGGGGTGCGTTCCCCGTACCTGCAAACCGCGCAATACGAGCCGAGGGCTCAAGGACATGTATGTGTGATACATGCAGCTGGATTAATTATAATACGTGCTTCCTCGTGCACTCCGGGGCGGCATACATACATCAGCAACTCTGCTGTATCACCCTTGGGTGTTACAGCCATGGCCATGGCCATGGCCCCCGGGGTTTGACGGACAACCTTCCATTCATGCGGAAAACTTGCGAGCTTGTTGTATAAACCTAAACGGCTAGATTTTTAGGTTGTGCACCTTCCCTCATCGTTTGTACGAACCTTCATCAGCAGATCCGGATGATGACTCCTCGGATGGTAATAGCTGCTCCTCTTTCGGCCCCTGCTGACTCTGTTTTACGGCAGTGACGACATACGTCACGTCTGACATGAGAATGGCCCCCCAGTTGGCCGTGAAGTCGCTGCCCACAAGCGAGTTGAGGCTGTTGGCGGTGATGGCGGCATCCTCGACCTGTTTATGCATGTGCATCGCACATACATACGTACATACAAGCAAGCAAGCATACATTTTGCTGCTGCAAGATCTACCCGGCGGCGGGCGGCTTGCATGTGTGTATATGTGTGTGTGTGTGTTACGAGCCGAAGGCCCAAGGGCAATACTACAACGCCTAAAAGCCACGGAGGAAACGAAAACACCGCACATCAGCCCAGACTAGCGTCCAAAGGGGGCTTGCATGTGCATGTAGGTGCACACTATAGTATGAGCATTGTTATACGATGACCCGGCCCATAAATGAAAAAAAAATTTAACCGCGGCTCCAGTAAGGTTTTTGATCGCTTATAGGCCACACCCTCGTGGTAGGTAGCGACGGGCGCAAGCACGCAGCTCCTATTTAAGTTCCAAATCGACGACAGCTTTCTCTTCCTGCCCATCATGTCAGCCAATTGCGTACCGCAGCTTCTGAGGCGTCATCCTGGCCAGGAATCCAGACAACGTAGTTCACGATGATTGACGAGTCAACACAGCCAAAGCTTGTGATGAGCGTGCTGTTGACGGAAACCTGCAAGTGCATGAAGAAGCTAGTAGTTGTATTCATGTACTTTAAATAGCATAGCATACACACAGCTGCATTTTATTTGGCATATGGGAACTGGTTGCCATATTATTGCCATGTTATTGCCATATTATTGCCATATCGCGTGGGCTGCTGGATAGGTAGATTCAAGATACATATATGTACTGCTGATGTGATACACGAGCTGATGTTGCATAAACGAAATCAATTGCTATTTATTACAATGTGCATTTATGGGGGCTGCCGCTAATAAATAGCTGGCAGGTAAAGTTGCAGGTATATCTATATAAATGTGTATCACACGCAAACAGATAGGCAGGCGGCGTACACATACACATCCATGACCTGACCACAGCTGCCTGCAGAAGCATGCACGTTCGTTCCAGCAGTGGTAACCAACTCTCACATTAAAGAGATCCTGCGAGATCCTGCTACGCATGACACCACTACTCGCTCCATCTGCGACTCCTCACCCTGAAAGCTCTGGCCAACTCCTGTCTGAGATCGGCGGTGAGATCGGCGCCCAGGGTGTCATCATCAACCAAGCCACAGCCTGTGCTATCCAGGGTGAGATTGCCGTACAGCTCGGCACCAATGGCGGCACTGCCTGCTGTACGGCAGGGGTGTGCATTTATGTGCGGCGAGGATGCGGGTCCATTGGTTATCTATCGTCGTCACTCCTTTTGTGGAAAAACGTAGTAGCTGTACACAAGTACGGGACACATGTCGGCACGCGTGGGTGCCAAGGAGTCTCGGCAGCATCTGTCGATGCGTTCTCAGAGGGCTCAGCTACCAGGTGCAATTAATTGGCACATACTCTGGGCATTTCACGAGATCTGCATCCGCCGATCGTACTTTTCTGAAGTCGTGATATAAGAATTGGTCAATGACGACTTCAGAAAAGCACCGATCGNGCGGATGCAGATCTCGTGATAAGCCCCGGATACTACAATATACTGTAGTAGCTGGTACACAGTACGGCACACATATGTGCCGTACCAGCTTATTGGGGCTTTAGATAGTTCCAAACAGATCTGTACAGCCTAAACGGCATACAACAGCCAAACGGGTCTCAACAGCCTGCTTGGCGCGTTTGAAAGCCCTGATGAGCTGATTGGTAAGGGTTGAACATTTGCACCGGCTGTAACCTTCATACTCCCTAAAGGGAGCATTGGTATATATTGGCTGGAACGGCCTCCCGAGATGCTGCTGGTGAAGCGCTTCGCGCGTATTTGTAGTTGCTATTGTTTTATTGATTGGAATTTCGTGGGGGGTCCAGGGTGGGGGCTACACTGCGGGGGGGCCCCTACTAGCCTCCCTGCTAGGGAGGGAGTCACGGGATAGGTTTAGCATAGGAGGCCGCTGAGCTTGAGGTCGACAGAATATGCATCCATAAGAAGGACGCACGAGAGGTTAGGCCTCGGTGGAGGCTTAGGGAATTAAACGCAAGCATGGTAGTAGCTGAACACAAAACGCACACATGCTGTTTATAATACGCGCTAAGGCAACCCCCAGCATGTTAAGAGGCCTTTACAGCGACCAGCTACTAAAACATAGCACATCAGAAAGGTAGATGCTCCATCCTGTCTAGGTTTATCTCATGTATACACCTGAACAGCGGCTTTGTGAATGTAATCTGCAGAGCCGTGCACAGATAACGTACCCAAGCACTTACAGGAATGGTTAGATCACAGCATGTGAAACTTCATGGGAACGAGATATCGAACATGCTGATGTTGCGGTACGTGGATTGATGGAGAGGAAGTACTTATGTACCTGTACGATACGAACGTGTACGCCTGGGATCTACCTGGGTCTGGAAAGGGAGGAAGTTCCTCTGTGGGTGATCCTCTGTCTTTTGACGCGCGAACGTTTGGTGGTGTTGGCGGTGGTGGAGAACGCAGTGTGGATGCCGGTGGGGGACTTGGTGGCGAGGGTGGAGATGGTGAAGGAGGTGGTAATCGAGGGCGCTTTGGCGATTTCGGGGGTGGAGGGAGAAGAGGTGACAGCGATCGGGGAGGGGAGGGCGGCGTTGTGGATAGCGATGGCGAGCTTGATTGCAGCGGCGAAGGTGGAGATGGTGAAGGAGGTGGTAATCGAGGGCGCTTTGGCGATTTCGGGGTTCGAGGGGGAAGGGGTGACAGCGATGGGGGAGGCGATGGTGGCGAAGGACTTGGCGGCAGCGGTGGGGGTGGAGATGGTGGTGAAGGTGATGGAGGAGGGGATGGCGGCATCGGGGATGGTGGCGAGGGACTTGGCGGCAGCGGCGGGGGTGGAGATGGTGAAGAAGGTGATGGATGATCGAGGGCGCTTTGGCGATGGTTCGGGGTTCGAGGGGGAGATGGTGGTGACAGTGATGGGGGAGGGGATGGCGGCGTTGGGGATAGCGATGGCGAGCTTGATTGCAGCGGCGGGGGTGGAGATGGTGAAGGAGGTGGTAATCGAGGGCGCTTTGGCGATTTCGGGGTTCGAGGGGGAAGGGGTGACAGCGATGGGGGAGGCGATGGTGGCGAAGGACTTGGCGGCAGCGGTGGGGGTGGAGATGGTGGTGAAGGTGATGGAGGAGGGGATGGCGGCATCGGGGATGGTGGCGAGGGACTTGGCGGCAGCGGCGGGGGTGGAGATGGTGAAGAAGGTGATGGATGATCGAGGGCGCTTTGGCGATGGTTCGGGGTTCGAGGGGGAGATGGTGGTGACAGGTGATGGGGGAGGGGATGGCGGCGTTGGGGATAGCGTGGCGAGCTTGATTGCAGCGGCGGGGGTGGAGATGGTGAAGGAGGTGGTAATCGAGGGCGCTTTGGCGATTTCGGGGTTCGAGGGGGAAGAGGTGACAGCGATGGGGGAGGCGATGTTGGCGAAGGACT